CAATAAATGTAATTAAGCCACTATGGGGACGCTTGTTATGTCACCTCTCAGCCCTCTGATGCCAGTCAGCAGACACTTCATGGTGCTTAAACTCGTCAGTTTATTAAAGTGCTGTTTCTCTAATTCTATTAGCCCGTTTCCCAGTTCTTTTCAGCCCTACAGGAGCATAAGAAAACCTATCATTTAGCAGTCGGCTAACAATACTTGTAAACTTTCATGAATCAAAATAATTTCATTCCATAAACTTTTTTAGATGCACAATTAAGTTCACATGTTGAGACAAAAAATAAATGTAAAGAGTAACTGAACTTTTAAAATATCTAAAAGTAATAGAGAAATGATAGAGAATTTTTCATTTTATATGTGTAATTACATAATGCAATTAGTTCTAGTAATAATTTTAATAAAGTTAATATAAAAATAAGGCAAAATTACAAAGAGAAGCCAGCATTCCTCAACCGACAAATGAAACATTATTAACAATTGTTCTGTAGACAGCCTGTGGTATTACTGTCAGAAGTTGAGGAAAAGGTAATTAAGGCAGTAATGAATTATCCTCATCGCCAAAGAGAGGTTGGTGAATCTAACAAGAGGGAGGAAATTAGAAATCAAGCCTCTCAGTTCTCCCATTGTCTGTTAAAATAGCAGAATCCTTTCAAAAAATGCACATTGTGACTCCTGGTTCGTTTATATTTTGACATGCATGGACACCACTACAGATACATCCGTTCAAATCACAAATAGTTAAAACAATTTATCCTTCAGTAGTTGGATTGACAACATTTATAAAGAAAAACTCATACATTTCGCTCAGAAAAAACCTACAAAAATATATAAATGGTCTGTTATACTTTTCTTATATATTTTATTCTGAAAAAAGTTTCAGCAAATTTATTGTATGCAGCAGCATCCAAAATAAATCATATCAGGTCCTTGCATCATAAAAAATACTTGAACAAAACCCATAATTTTTTATCACATTATTATAAAATTATTATAATGAAAGATAAAACAGATGTTTTAAAATTCCTAAAACATTTATTTCAACCATAACATACCATCACCCAAAAATTAGGGCAAGGTTTTTTTAAATCATAAATAATCATTTATATTCAAAGCTCTGTTATTCTATTCCTGCTATAAAATAACTAATAAACAAAAAATCATTGATTGTCAAAGTAAAATCTATTTTTTAATCACACAGATTATTCTACACCCTATTCTTTTACATAGTTCAGTTCATTATTTATTAATTTTTTTTTAAACTATGTTATTTTAACACAGCAAAAACGACAAAAAATGCTTGATACGCATGTTGCATTATATAGTTTTTTCCATTACGGCCCTGTTCATATCTAAAATTAATCCTTTTTAACCATTTTCAATAAATCACTAAACAGACAAAAGTGCACACGCATCACTATACATCTACAATGTATTAATAATGAAAGACCTACGCAAAATGTCCAGTATCAAAGGTATAGTTTTCACAACTATCTCGGCAGCACTCTTAATGAAAATACAATGATTTGGTAAACAAGTGCGTGCACGCTCCAGAGGAGGTCTCTGCACAGCGTCCTGATCTGCGGCGGCTGCGGGACTCCGGTCCCCGCAGCCTGCCAGTGAAAATCTCTGTTGGTGCACCTTGAGCTCCTGGTCGTCACAGTAGCAGATGGGGCACACGGTGCCATGAAGTGGAAAATGGATCTCTTGTGTTTGTAATGGCAAGGAAGGGGACTTGAAGCAAGACCGTGGTGTCTGCCAAACTTGCACAAGTGAAACCTTGGTGCCGCTGATGGTTTTTAATGTAGGGGAGAAGTATTATTCTGTAGAAAATATGATAATTTCATGTTGTACAATGAACCCCACATAAAGCATTTGCAAAGCCATGTAAACCTGCGTATGTAACTAACTAAGGCTTTTAACCTTGTAATCTTGTGACAAATAATTGATTACAAATAACAACCCAATAATAGTAGCATTTGCATGGAATTAAACAATTTTCTGAATTAAGCGAGAAACTCATTCTTCAAACCCTGTAAGTTTAGAGCACCAAAGGATTTTTTATAGTAAATTGAATCCTAAAATACTTTTCGTTGCGTTTCATTTAGTGTAAAAGTTTCTTTTTTAATCAACCTTTCTTGGAAGACCATGATCACTCTAGAGAAAATTATATAAATGTAACAGATTGTCTCCCAAAAAAAAACGGGAATTACCAGCAGGGATTTTCGTAACCGGTACGGTAACTCAATGCTGTCATCTAGTGGTGATCTGTAAACCTACATCCCATTACAGAACGTTTTTTTTCCGTTACTGTTTATTTACTTTCGGTCTAAGGTAATACTCCTGTCAAAAGTGACGTGGCTAGCTATGTGTGCATTTACCTACGCTTACCTATATACATTCACCCAAAAATGCACATATTTCTTTATTTTTGCACAAAATAATTCATTTGCTCTAAAATACACAAATCCTCATTTTCTCCACTGCAATCACATTTCACATGGAAATACTTCTGACCTATAATATTTTGGCCTATTGTGGTTTAAATGTAGATATAACGTTCAAGAAAAAGAGATTGTTAAAATCAAAATACCAAAATGATATTTCATACCTACATATTTATATTTAGGTCATATACGTCATATGTTAATTCCCACCATAAATAAAGATCTTTAATATTTTTAGTCTTTAAGTCTAATGCTGCAAAGCACATTGATATTTAAACCGTCAATAAACTGTCATATTCGATATATTTTCACTTTGGCGCGCCATGGGTTTCCTTATTGCTCATTCAGCGAAATTTGAAAATGATTTTGTTGTGTATTTTTATTGGAGTATATAGTATTTTAAATGATATTCCACCGTATACATAGGCATATATGTCGTGTTGTTTACTGTATTTTACAGCATTTAAAAATGATGAAAAGAGTACATCTGCTCAACTGAGGTTAATCTTTGCGTTTTTGCTTTGACGGAAGATGCGGCAGAGATGCACCTTGATAGTTACTGCTGTTCTGCGTCTTGTAGACGTGTTTCAAAGATCCAGACGAAGTTAACACTGCACCTCCCGACAGGGTCCCCCTACCCAGCCAAGAGGAAGTTTTCAACTTTCAATGTCTTAAAAGGGTAGAATGCGAGATGCCCAAGTTATACGCAAGTGGGAATGCGTTTCGCTGATGTGACTTACGATCAGCATATATGTATTTTAGAAAATGCGAAGATCTGCAAGACAAAAACAAAAGTACCTTTACTTTTTCCAATAAAGTTTGTTAACTAAATTAATTGTAGGTGTCTTCGGGCAGTCGCTAGGGTTTTCTTGCCTATGGGCTAGATAATGTTCAGGTTAATCAATCCACTATTGCGACACTCCATTAGGTAGCTAATTTTTACTTACAAAAGCCAGGTAATGTTATTTTCTATCCAAACGATTACTTTAGCTAATTAATCAAGCGGGTGCTGAGACAGAGAAAATCCTCAGCCCTTATGGCACGCCCTCGGCGTGTGCGCCATTTCTCAAAATAGCCGCTTCCAGAAAGTCACTGCATTTTACATCACGAAATACTGTAAACTAATATAGCCTAAATATTACATTTGAAATAAATTAAAGCCACAGAAGAACATTGAAGCCATATACTTGCCAGTAAAATTATTTTGAACACTGAACAAAGTGAAATGAAAATCTAGTTTATTGCAGTCTATGTCGTCATGACTTACATTGTTATAGTTAGATGAGTCTCAGTTTCGGTGCATGCTGAGAACATTTGAACATTTTTTGGCAAGATTATAAAATAATAATTATTACAAATTATAAGGATACTTAAAGTGAGCATTAATAATAAATATTTATTCAGGCGTATGTGATTTGTAGAAATTCCCCCCATATTTTGCAGAAACTTCCGGAACTATATTTCCACCTTTGGTTGCGGGATTGTGTGCATGTGTGTGTGTGTGTGCGTGTGTGGATTAGGTTTATATCACATTGTGGGGACCAAATGTCCCCCACAGTGTAATAAAAACCAGTTGTTTTGAATTGTCGGGACCATTTTTCAGGGCCCCACAAAGATCTGTTAATGCAATCAAAAAAGTAAAAATGCTTTAAGTCTCGTATTTTGTTTGGTTACTTGTGGTTAAGGTTAGGGCTGGGTAGCGGTTAAGGTAGTCATGTTGTGATTAGAGTTTTCCCCATAGAAATGAATGAAGAGTCCCCACAAAGACATGATTACAAACCTGTGTGTGTATGTGGTTTTTTTTTATGTCAAACTGGAGCCCTGGAAACCAAAACGAGCTGAGAATGAAACTAGGGAACTGGACATAACAATGAAGGCAGCCCCCTTTGGTATGGTGCGGTGAGCCAGATCAGTTTCAGGAAAGAAAAGGTAGAAAAAATAGTCGGTATAGATCGACTGCTTCTCCCAGCTAGAGCAATCGGAATAGTAATACTTCTTATATGTCTGCCAGATTTTGATGATGTCGAGCGTTTCTAGCTACTGAAAAGATCAGGGGCTGAGTCAAGGTTACCTGGGGCTCGACTTTCTTGGTGTCGGGGCCAAAATACTGAGGTGTGTAGCCCAGAGTGATTGGACCTAAGGACGCCCATGATGTCGAGGGTCTTACCTATGAGAATGAATGAAAAATGAATGGAAATTATTCTCAATCGAAATTCAGCATCGAGTGCAAGCACATAAATTTCACTCCTAGTTTGTCACATTGCACAATGTTTTTGAACATTTTTATAGGACAGATTTTCCAGTTCTAGCTTTTGTCCTTCTTAGCCCTACCAAAACCATATATATAGCAGTATATCACAAATTTGGTGATGTCTTGTAATGAAACAAGTTTCAAAAAGTGCATTTGGAGACTTTTGAAACATTTGGGCATATTTGACACGACACACATTGCTCAAAACCTTCCTTTGGAACTGTTGTAAACAATGAATCTTAAAAAGAAATGATAATTAATGTCATCCAAACTAAAAACAAAGAAAAAAACAGGACTAATTTAAATATAATGTATTGATTTAATAGGCCTATTTAAACAGAAAAAAATCTGTACATACTTGATAAATACATGTGATAATAAATGCAAAACACCAGTAGAGGGAGCTATAGTCACAGAGCCGTCACTGCCCAATCACCAAACCGTCTACAGAATTTCAGTCCCTGGTTTTGAAAAACACTTCTGCATTGTCTCAGTATCCCGGACGGGACACCTATACTTTCACAAACTCCGGAAGTATCTTAGATAATTAGTAGTTAATACCAATGTGTTATAGGTGCACAGCTGCAAAGAAGATGTTAATACTTAATACTTAAAATGTAAGTGTTAATACGGGCGTCGCTAGGACTACTTTTGGGGGAGTTGGCCGCCCTAAAATATTCTTTAGTCCCCGCAAATAAATGTACATTATTTAGCACAGTGGTTCTCAACCTTTTTTGCACCACGATCCAATTTTTACCATACCAGCTCAGTCGCGACCCTATGTCAAGTATAGGTTTAAATTAACGCTATGATCAAGCATGCAGTGCATTATGCAATTTACGCCAATCAATGCCTATCGCACAAATCTGATTGGATGTGCCAGTGAATTTTAAATTAAGCATCTGTACTTTGGCTTCTTGGAGTGGATGAGTGTTCGCTAGTTTTGCGCTAAGCATTTGCAGACCCAAGACCCGGCCGTTTATATAGGTTAATTCTAGGAGCGGGGCTGGGAAATCTGATCGTTGATTAAAACAGCTTGCTAGTTTTAAAATGCTTATATTTCCAGGTCTGCCTCCCGGCCCTTTCAGAACTTGTCGCGACCAAAGGGTTGAGAATCGCTGATTTAGTGCACACTGAGTGTTGAAGTTATACAACAAGTGAGGACCTCCTCAAAATGCTTTTGCACCTTGGAGATTTCCACTTTTTAGGTCAGCTGGCAGAATATCTGAAATGCTGGCCGCCACTTCCTAAAAGCACAGATTCAATGAGAGGTATAACATACTGATCAATACAGTTCATAGCTGTATCACTGTATCAAATACAAACTTTTAAATGAACAATAAGTCGTCTTTGCATCTATGAATAGCAATGAATTGAGACAAACAACATAAAATCCTGGTCATAAATAAGACTTTACACACACAGCCAGTTACAGAAGCAGTTACATATTAAGATTAATATTTTTCATATTACCCAATCCATAAATGTTACACTGTTCAAAATTACTTTCATGTTTTCAATAAAAAGATTTACAGTATATTACATACACATTGAATCCTTTGAAATTCAAGTTCGTTTCAAATTAACAGGCATCAAATGACATCTGCTGTTCATGTGTTCTGGAAGTATAAGCAAACAAAACAGTCATTACACTGAAACTTAAAGCTCAAAACATTTACAACATAAATATTAAATCAAAAGAAGCACAGTTTCTTTTGTATATCTTCAATTCATTCTTCATATAAAATCAAGACCGGACCTGACAGTATGTGAAAGTATTCATGCAAGACAGATTCTAAGCTAACATTGATGTGTAAACAAAAAATGATGCGAACATCTTTAAAGAAATGCAATAATAATAATTAAAAAAAAGTTTCACCTTGCACCTGAGTATCCAGGGTTGAGAATAATGTTTTCTGTCACTATTACTAGTTTTAAGAGGACGGTACTGCAAAAACACATCACACAGTCTTTTGAAGATTCAGCAAACTTTACATAAGACTGTTTTCAAAGCATGTTTCCCCATATTACATTTACTAAATAACTGCCCACTAATCACAGTAACTAGATACCAGGCACTACCAGTTAATGTACTGAAATTAAAGCTACAGTCCTGTGTGATGTAGAGTTTAACTACTACGCTGGCTTATGTACGCCCTTGCGTGAGGCCAGAATGAAGTCCTCCCCGATTGGATGTAAATCAGCCGGTGCATTACAGCATATTTACTGCAGGGAACAGGCGGCAGGTATCGCGACACGCTAGAGACACAATACGTTTGACGTGATTGCTTCTTGATCCATCTTTCCGCTGATAGGTCAGCTGTGGTCATCTTGGAAATGGAGTCATCTACCCATTCAGTGCTGAAACATGAATGAAGGAACAAACGTACATGGACACAGTGTACACATTACAGAATGTACAGACGTTATTTAAAAATGTATGCAGTTTTGGGAAAAATGTTAACGCAGATGTATGGAAGTTACTCCTATTAAATTACTCATTGTAACCTCATTCTATTAGATTATGTCGTAATACAATACAGGTTCTCCCCAGATTACGATGGGGTTATGTTCCGATAAACTTATCGTAAGGTGAAAATATCGTAAGGTGAAAATGCATTTTAATACAGTACACCTAACCTAACAAACATCATAGCCTAGCCTAGCCTACCTTAAACAATCTTAGAACACATACAACAGCCTACAATTGGGCAAAATCATTAACACTAAGCCTATTTTATAACGAAATGTTGAATATTTCACGTAATTTATAGGTTAATGTACTGGAAAAAAATTTACCCATCATGAAGTCGAAATATCGTAACACGGACCATCGTAACCGTAACACGGACCGTAATCGTGTTTCCAGCATTACCTGTAAAACGCAGAGCGGTCCAGAGGTACCATCACATGACCGGCTCCCGCCTAGATCTGGAGGTTGATGAAGGGCGCAAACCCCACCACGTCCTGCAGCAGGACCAGAGCCCTCTCCAGGGGCGGCTCCACGTCTATCGCCACGTTCCTCCGCCGCAGGACCCCCAGGCTGGACTCGGTGACATTGTGGCAGTGGTTGACCTTGAGGGACTGCAGTTTGGGGCAATATTCAGCGACTGTCCTGTAAACGACAGTGGGGAAACAAAAAGCTGCAGCTGAGAAGCAACCTCTCAATATATCGTATAACAAAAAATATCAGTAAAATATCAATAAAAACTTTCATATCTAATATCCTCCTGAGACCCAAGGAAAAAAGTGTCCTTCAATTTTACGTAATTTGTCCTTGGAGGAAATAAGACCTTACAATTTAGATTTTTTTCAAATTTATTCTTATTTTTAATTTCACAGCATGTCCTCTTTAGTGTACAACAGGAATAAATATGTTTCCATACATCAGTGAAAAGATAGATGGAAAAACAAAATGTCCACTACAATGGACATAAATGAATGGGTGCGGTCTCAGGAGGTTACAGATAAGGCTATCTTTAGCCCAAAAAAGCATGCAATCTGCTTTGCCTAACAATGAACTCAATCTTTCGACACTTCTGTCTAGAATTGTAGAAGACTAGGCTTAGGTGATAATAAGGAGATATGGCATAGCACGGTATTTTCGATATACCACGGTATTTTGAAATCTTGACAATAAGATGCACTGAGCCGTGATGGGGGGGCTGTGGTCGTGTGTGTCGCTGTTCAGTAGAATTGATCGCGGGGATGCCCTGCCCCTACTCAGCAGATTTTATTGCCAAAATTTCAAAATAGCAGAATCATTTTGCTTTTGAAAATACCATAAAAGTACCGTATACCATAGTATTACATCTGGAAGGTATGAGGGTAAGAAGATTTAAATACCGGCCAAGCCTATGTAGGACTGAAATAAAGCAGAATTATGTAAGTGTAATAAATGGGTCATATTTCTATTCACCAAAGTCCATTTCAGAACAAAGACGCAGCTTCAATTCAACCATATACATTATTAGAAGGTCACGGTCAGAAGGTCCTTTAATCCCCAAACATTACACTGTACAGCCTGCGGCAATTTATTGTCTGAACTTATGTGATCAGTTTGTTTCGGTTTACTGATTTACTTTAAGGGATACAGTTGTTAGACAAAGGTTCATGGACCCTTGTTAATTATCTAGATTTATTATGTAAGTCCTACTTAAAAAACAAAACGTATTTTACTATTTCACCCTGTCGATTTTTTAACAAATGGTTTAGAAAATCAAGGTCATTGATAAAAGTAATTTTGTGAGTGTTGTTTGTTAAATGAGACTCCTTATTTGCTATTATGACATATAAAACCAGATCACATTATAGGAGCTGCTTGTGCAGAAATCAAAATAAATCGAAAACCATAAATTACTGAAATTTAGATAAATGGATATAGGATGAATAGGGAAGTCTTCTTGGTTAAAAGCCTGTGTAAGTACAGAATTCTAGAAATCTTTAAATGGGGAAAATTTTGAAGTGTCGCTGGATAAGTTCTGAGTTCACAGCAGGGACAGAAGGACCAACGGGCACCCGGATGGACACCCGACGGGCGGCGTTACCTGATGGATTCGTTCCGAACCCTCAGGCAGCCTGTGAGGTCCAGCTGTTCCAGGTCCCTGCAGTTCTTGGCCACCTCTTCCACCGCCACGTCGGTGATGTTAGCGTTGACCGCCACCGAGATGGACCTGAGACCAGTACACTTCCCGGCCAGGTAACAGACGGCCTCATCCTTCAGCTGCCGGCAGGCCGTCAGGTCGACGGAGCGCAGACCCCGGCAGTGGTCGGCCAGGCTGCGCAGCGACAGACTGTCCACCCATTCGCAGTGCGCCAGGCCCAGGCGCTGCAGACGCGTGCAGCTGAGCGACACGGCCACCAGGGCGTGCCGGCTCAGCCGTACGCAGCCCCGCATGTCAATCTGCAGCAGGTGCTGGTTCTGGCCAATCACGGGCAGGAGCTCTTTGTCTGTCACCCAATCGGAACAGTTCTGGAGAACCAGGCTGTGTAGAACTTTGTTGTCTTTCAGCATATTGCAGAAGGCCTCCTTTGGCATCCGAGGCCCTATCTGAAAGGGGGGATGGTACACATGATGACTGCAGACTTGCCCTGGGGCATACATATCTGTAAAATGGCATTAGCCATTCTCAGTTCAAATTTTACTTAAACATCCAAGTATAATTCCTAACTTCTATTTAAATGGAGTGGGTCTAATTTGTCATCTTTTAAGCCTGTTCTTGTTTAAATCCACGTGACCCATCCTTATCTAGGGTAACCACCTAATCCATGTCAGGAGAGACACTATGAACTACTTCAGGTTTTACAAACTACTTTAAAACTGGCTCACGTGCTCAACTGTTCAGTTTGTCTGGTACTTTTACTGGTTTGTTTCCTTGATTGAAAGACTCTTCCAGTTGTTTCACATTAACATTAGTGACACATGCATGTTTATAAGATACTGACCAATCAGCACACAGCCAGAACTCAGTGCTAAAGTGAAATTCAGGTCCTTTTAACTGAAATGGTAGCTTACAAATCCTGTCGTAGATCACATTGTCCCTCCTGACGTGGATCATGTGGTCACCATATCCTTATCGCTAATTCAGAGCAGAAGGCGAGAGTGTGCAAACGCATAAATTACCTGCGTGAGGTCAAAGGAGCGACAGTTAGCCAAATAGACCTGGATGAGAGTGTGAAACTGCTTGCTCACTCTCTGCAGGCTGACTAGCTGCCGGAGCGGGAGGTAGCAGAATATGTGGGTGACCAGCACGTCCTCCCACGGCAGGTCCAGGAGCTGGCACCTGGAGAAGAAGGTGGTTCACACTTCTTACTCCCCGATCGGATGAAACTGCGTAGCTGTTTTGGCACATGAAGGAGCACATCTAGCATGCTGTGCTAAAGTGATATTTAAAACATATTAACCTTTTGTTAATTTAAAATTTTCCGATTGGAATATGATGTAAAAATAGTTACATTTATTAAGCTATGCGTGAGCAGCTGTCTAGCTGCAGGGTTGGAGTGCAGCATTAAAAACAGCAAACTGACCGGCGTTTTCTGTGTCGATGCAATACATGCGGTTTTGCATGTTATCTTGTCTATCAGTGCACTAGAAATAGACATGTTGTCATATTACGAAAATGGTTTTTAATTTTCGTACAGAGCGATCGTGGATAAGACAACTTATTAACTTATTCATTTTAAATGCACCGAAACGGCAACGAACAGTCATCAATCTTCAAGTAATATTTCCACATACTTAACGCCCCCCGATCGCTCCTCCATTTCTGTGAATCGGTCCCTGATCCTGAACGGCGCGCCTGCCTATCGACAGCAGAAGCCTTTCGGCACCTTGCAGTCGGCTAGCTGGAGATTAAAGGGACGTTTCCGGGTTCGGGTGTCTCTTTGTTATGGTTCCCGGACGTTTGTCAGAAACGCGCCCTCTGTGGCCGGCCGTTCCACAAGCAGAAGCCGCATCTCGCTACGCCACATTTATGTAAAATGAAATGCAGGAAAAATTAGGGGAATATTACTGGAGGTCGTTTGGCTTCGTTAATATTTACAGTCATCGGTAGTAATTGTGTCTGTAGTGGTAGTCAGTTATTGCTGTTGACTATGATGTTGAAGCATTATCATAAAAATCATGACCTTGGTGTACATTTAGGAAGGAAATGTTTAGAACATCCCAGTCTTACTGACCTGGTTTCATTCCCAAAAGTGTGATTTTCCCAGAATGCTACACATAAAATAGTTTGTTTACCCAAAACAGTGCCCCCCACCTGACACACACACACACAATCATCTACTTTAGTAATCTACTGCAGTTTCATAAACATCACTAGGCTACTTATTGTCAAATTGTCAATATATGAATACTCTTTTGGTTTTCAATCTGTATTCCCTGTCAGAACCCCAAAGCCAGGCTTCGCAAGTTGTATCATAAAAGCCAGCGACACGCTAGCATTACCTGTCCAGTGAATAGGAGCAGAAACACATGACTGGTGAATTCCGCTCACCTTTGCAAACATTTAAACAAACCACTGCACAGGAAATTCACCTCAGCGTGGAGGGACAATGGAGTCAGTCACGCAGAACAACTGCTGACCAACAAGCTATGAATCTGTGAACGCAGGGAGGTGCCAGTGGGCACGGTAGATGTCCCCCACTCACAGTGACAGCTCTGTAAACACTTGTGCCCTCTCTCTGTGCTCCATCATGGCCAATGTGTCCATCTATGATTTCACCGTGGAGACTTTGCAGGGTTGTACTGTACCACTGGGCAACTACAGGGGCAAAGTGTTGCTCATCGTAAATGTGGCTACTTTCTGAGGGGCTACAGTAGAGGAGGTAACGTCTGCTTACATCACCGTGTACATTATTGCATACCTGGGCATGCTGATGTGTTTGGTTTTGTCGGCTTTGTCATCTTAGTAGCTTCAACATGCTGAATTTACTGGCCTCTTTTCAAGTATCACAGGCTGAATGCACTTGTGGATATGTACAGTGAGCTCAACTTTGAAGTTCTTGGTTTCCCCTGTAACCAGTTTGGACTTCAGTCGCCTGGTAAGGTTTCTGCACACACACACACACACACTCACAGACCTGTAATCATATCTTTGTGGGGACCACTCATTCATTTCTATGGGAAAAATGCTAATGCTAACCATGACAACTCACCCAGCCACAACCTTAACCATAAGTAAACAAACAAAATGCAACAGTTTTTGCTGTTTTATTTTTTTGTTTGCAGTCACAGTTTTTTTTTTAGAAAATTTAGTTCTTCCTCATGGGGACCAGGAAACTGGTCCCATAAGGTTTAAAAAATGGATATTCATCACATTGTGGGGACATTTGGTCCCCACAAGGTAAGGTATATCTGGACCACACACACAGGTTTGTAATCATATCTTTGTCGGGACTCTCCATTCATATCTATGGGGAAAATTCTAATCCCAACATGATGACCTTAACCCCTACCCAGCCCTAACCTTAACCATAAGTAACCAAACAGAATATGAGACTTTTGGCATTTTTACTTTTTTGATTGCATTCACAGATCTTTGTGGGGACCCGAAAAATGGTCCCCACAACATCAAAAAGCAAGTTTTTATTGGATTGTGGGGTACATTTGGTACCCACAAAGTAATATAAACCTAATCCACACACACATGTAGTAGTTTCTGCAATTTATTCTACTAAAGCTGCCCATCAATGTAGTGACTGCACTGATAATTATTATATTAGATGTCATGCATTCTTTGTGATTGTACATGTAATGGAACTTTTTCATAAGAGGTAGAGGCTAGATTCCCTTGTGTGGTAGGGGCACTTTGGAGTGGATTAAATTTATTTGAAAAATATTTCTGTACTAATTTAATCTGATCCCTTCTTGTCAGTTACTGTCATACTGTGATACTGGAGCACAAATGTATTTCCAAATTAACTTGCACTTGAATGTAAAAGCAGTAAACAATTGTGCTGAATAATTAGGAATTCCATTCTACATTAAGCATATTGAAATACATATTAATCACATACTGTGCACCTACCGGCTTTCTTTAGAGGCAAACCATGAAACCCTGAATATTTTGAAGTACGCAAGGCCTGGTGCAGGTTTCATCCCAAAGTTTCCAGTATTTGCGAAAGTCAAAGTGAATGGATTAGATGAGCATCCTTTCTTCACTTACCTGAAGGTAGGTAGAGAGATAGTATAGCAATAACAGTGCTACACTAATGTAGTAAAAACGATGAGAGGATAATTATTCAGTTTCAAGGTAATCAATTACAATTTCAATTACCATTATTACAATTACATTAGAGCTGTATCTTGAAATACACCACTGTGGTTCATTTTAATCAAATCTATATCGTATGGTTATTACATATACTTTCTGCATCTGGCTATAAAAACAATAAAATAATTTAAGTTCATTACATGCCGATGTTATCCATGGTTTCCCCCCCCCCCCCCACAGAACAGCTTGAGCTTTGTAAACCCTGTCATTGGTGACATTAAGAAATTCTACTGGTCTCCAATTAGAGTTAACGACATCCGCTGGAACTTTGAGAAGTTCCTGATACGTGCAGATGGAGTACCACATAAGAGGTAAATAAGCCCCTTGAGGAGACTGTACATCTGCACCGCATTTACCACTGGGTGTGACTTGCTGCAGTTCTGCTAAATTGTAGGTACGAGCTTCATAGTCTGTTTGAAGAGCTGCGGCAAGACATCACAGACCTGCTCTAGAGGCATGCGTGACCTTCAGGGGCGTTGAAAGGCTAGTTGCACAACTGGGAGAGGCACTGTGAAGATCCCTCAGCAAATGCTGCCTTGCACCTGGGTGGACCTGATGAAAGGGGACAAGCGCTCGAAGCTTCAGTGCATTCGCTCAGAGCCTGATATCCCACCAGCCTCCAGTGTGTCACTCTGCTTTCACAAGGCTTTATACAGCTTCTTCAGTGCTCGTTCTGAAGCATCCCTTCATAAATCACAGTAAAAAAAATGCTGTAAATGAACAAAAATGTCTCAATCTCTTTCTTATCAGAACATCTCCCCTTGCATTGTTATCCATCCCGTCTTGGATGATTACAGCTGCTCTGGGCTGATCGAATTCTTAATACGACTCCAAAGAATCTGAATGGTCTTTGAAACCAAAATATTCTCAATGTATCTGTCCATCTTCCAACCTCTTGTCAGGACAAGGTCAGGGGGAACCTGGACTCTATTCGAGAGAGTATAGGGGACAAGGTAAGGGACACCCTGGATGTGATGCCAGTCCATCACAGGACTTACACATAAAATGGTAATTTAGAGATGCCAGTTTGCCTAAAGGAATGTCTTTGGACTGTGGGAGGAAATGGGGGGTGCCCAGGGGGATCTCAGACATCATGGGGAAAACATGCAAACTCCACACACACAGAGCAGGAGTGGAATTCAAATTCCCAACCCTGAAGGTGCAAATCACCGAGTTGCCTCTTGTTTTTATTTATTTATTACATTATTCATTAACAGTGCTGAGCCAGGCCAGATTGCTGTAGTTAAGGATAAGCCCAATTAATTAAGATATTTTCTGAATATCAACTTCTACCGCTGTTTATTATTGCATAACTTGCAAATGTAAGGTTTCTCTTTTGCATGAAAAAGGAGTGTCAGTCAAACAAAAACATGCAAATGCATGCACGAGTTTGCTTCAGCGTATTATACACAAAGTCATTTTACTCTCCACATTGGTCTTATGCTCTATGCATCAGAATGTTCTGGCAATCACCCAAGTGCAAGCTGTTGATTTTTTATTGTAATGCATAACAAGTAATTGGTTCCGCATTATTCACTTGCCAAAGATCCCTTGCTGATTGTATTTAGGTCGAGGGCAGGTCATTCCTAAATTTTAACTTCTGAGGCTTTATCGAGAGACGGAAGAGAGATTGGAGTAAAAAAAAATAGATTCACTAATATTGGTAGCCTCAGGAAACAGCATGGAACACAGGCTCTCGGTGCACGACATTAAGCAGCCGTCTGGCACCATTTTCCTGTCTATTTGCTATGAAAGTCAGGAGCCGGTGGTGTGGAAGAGAAGGCGCTCACAGCTGGATCCTGCTGACAGCCGCAGGGCGAGAGCAGAATGCTGTGGGATACCGGCGGCGCGCGCTGGGAGGAGCGCCGTTCCCCTGGCAAACACCCACGCATAACTTTATGCTACCCGTTTTGGCAAACTGAATTCAATTTCATGCTTCTGTCACGGTGCCACTACTATGTGCAAACTGCTAATAAATTTCATAGGTTTTTCTGAGCCGCTGATCAATATTTATGTGAAAGATTATTCAGTAACCTGAATGGTTGATGTGGCACGAAAACAAAGTCCTTTAGTTGTCCGCGAACCTAGCGATAATCCTAATATAGCGGCAGAAAGTCATTTATTTGTTTGCTTTTCTAACATGAAAGGGACGGACCACTGAGTAAAACCGAGCAATAGAGAATGCTATAAAAATGTATAAGTCAACAGGTTCCAAATATAAACTGACTTTCGCTTTTTTGTATTCTTTTCAGTCCTCTCAGGTTAATTAAAAATCTAATTCACTAAACAAGCTTTAATATATAATTTACTGAAATTTCCATATTACATGGATTTTTCATTATTATTCATTGTATGAATATTATATTCCTTCACACATAATTAACCGAAGCACCAGCAGAATCATTACTTGGTTATTTTTGTTAGTTAGCGCTCATCGGATATGAAATCCACAGAGACGGGATGCAATTGGTGAAATCCCTTTAGTGGAGACAGGAATTGCATAAAGAGCGACCCAAAGTCAAACACAAAGCGCACGGGCTACTACAGGCAAGGCAGACTCGGAAACTAAATATACAGACCAGCCTTGGTGCACAGAAACGGGCAGGATTCAAGGGCATCAAGGCCCAACTCAGTGTAGGTGAAAGTAGGTAAAAGTCCAGGGAGACACTGAGGTGTTCTTATGTACGTTCTCATCTGTGGAGGTAATAACAACTGGCGGTGGTCAGTGCGCATTTAAGCAGGTAGTAACATCTGGTGATTCTTTAGCAGTTACACACACTATGAATATAAAATGCACATGAAATACAAATATTTTATGTACGTTTTATTGCGTCTAGATGGTTTGCGTCTAGTGGTGTGGTTGTGAACGAACACAATACAAATACAACCTGTACCCATTAGGGTTTTAAAATTCTCAACGAAGCTTGAACCCTTTTGCATTCCGTAGTTCCACGTGACTTGCGCACGCGCAGATCGCATCTCCTGTCAGTGTTTGGTCAAAATGGCACTGCAAGGTGTCCGGTGTTGGACACGGACTTTGTTAAAGAGAGGAGGACATGGCGCTTCGGCGTTTTTAGCTGGAGCTAGGGCAGGTTGGTGTCGCCCTTGTAACGTTTTATGTGTAAAAATGTATGTAAATGCAACCATACTCGAAAACTATATCGTTGAAATCCAAGACTAAAGAGTAACCTTGGATCGCTTTTCTAGATGGCTAGCTGTTTTAACCCATTAACTATACAGAAGTTACGTTTCCTTTTGGTTGTGATTTAACAGGTTATTTCGGTGCTTCGGCGTACCAATCAAATCTTTACCGACTGCAGTTCACAATGACAATGCCAGCATAACTTTGCTAGTAGCATCGGTACTACTATACTGATGATGGCATCGGTCTGTAGCGGGGTCATTTTGTATAATTTTTCTTTAATACTTTTGTAGCCTCTGGAGTTTCAAAGGATGTGCTACCAGGCCCTTACCCCAGGACCCCAGAGGAGAGAGCAGCTGCCGCCAAGAAGTACAACATGAGAGTGGAAGACTACGAACCATATCCTGATGACGGCATGGGGTGTGTGTCGTTGCGTTCTGTCAGATAGTTGGCACTAATTATGTGCTTCTAGTACTGGTTGGCATCCATTGGAATCTGCCTTTTACCTAGGTAATTTTCTTGAAGTTATTAATTAATTAATTTGTTTTGCAGGTTTGGAGATTACCCTAAACTACCTGATAGATCTCAGCAGGAACGAGACCCCTGGTATTCCTGGGATCATCCAGATCTCAGGCGGAACTGGGGAGAGCCGGTACGGTCGTGTTTAAGTTTCTAAAAGTTTTTTTTTTTTTTTTAGTGAAGCCGTGCTATGAATTTTAAAATTAACAATGACACTGCCACCACAATTCAGATAAGTCTGCACTTATATAACTAATTATAAGAACTAAGGGTGCTTTTCCACTCCACCAGCTACTGTACTTTTGATACTTGAAGAAGGTGTTGGTTTTCCACTGGTGTAAAAACTGGTACTGGCGCCGAATGACATCACAACATGAGATGGGGTATTTTGTCCTGAATTCGAAAAGTGGCTGTAGTATATTATAGGGCTGGATGATGTGCAATATTAATATCATCATCATATGTTATGCACATGTAATTCTTACATCACTAGTCAGCTAAATTAAGATCAGGCTTTTTCTTCAGTTCTGTGTGGACTTTATAGCTCATGGAGTTTGTTTCATTAAAACATTGTTTTTTTACAACAAAATCACATTGCTAGGACAGCACACTATATGCATGCTGTCCTAGTATATTAAACAAAATACTTTGTAAATTTCTTGTCATGCCATTCATTTTTTATTTTTTTTTGCATTTGTTCTTCCGACCAGATCCCAATTCATTTTTTCCCCCACTTTATTGTTGTTTTCTGAGTTTGTAACTGTTTTTGAGGCGGTGTTTGTATTGTGTTTCAGAGGAAGGCTATTTGCATAACCAATTGACAAAGAAAGCGTTTCAGCTGGTTTGGCACTTTTGCTACTGGTATTCGACCGGAAATCAAAGGCAAAAGGAGAATAGCAAAAGTACGGTATCTGGTGTGGTGGACAAAGCACCGTAAGCTACACAGGACTCCAGCCATTCAGGACTGGAGTTTGACACCACTGTTCTAAAGAAACTTCTGGCTTGTCCTTTTTCCTTTTAGATGCACTGGGATTTTGATATGTTTATCAGGAACCGTGTGGACACGTCCCCCAGCCCCGTTGACTGGAACGCCATGTGCAAACAGTTGTTTGGCTTCATTGGGTTTATGCTCTTCATGTTTTACGTAGGCCAGAAATTTCCATCTTACCAACCAGTGGTGAGTCTCAAACAGGTTACAGATGTTCCAGTTGTATGAAATTTCAAGGTGGTCTATATTAAAGAAATCTTTACTTTCCAACCATTAAATTAATTTTTATCTGCAGTAACATGACTATGTGCTGAAACATAACATTACCAATTTCTAATATTTTTTGCTCTCTGAATTATAAGTGTTTTGTGGCTGACTTGTTTGACTGGTCTCTCACAAGGAATTGTTTGTGGCCTGTATTCTTTTAAGTGTCACAGAGTTATGTCAAGCAAAACCATCCCTGTAATGGTCCTGACAAACATTGAAAATGAAGTCTTAAGCTTGTATGCATTTCCCCCAGTCTTGTTGCTGTGTTCCTGTGCAGCAAGTTTGAATATGGAGTTTCTTATCTGTTCCAGACCCCAAAGCAGTATCCTTACAACAACCTGTATTTGGAAAAAGGAGGAGATCCTGAGAAGCAGCCAGAAGAAGTGAAGCATTATGAAATCTAAACTATGATGTCTTCTCTATATAATGTGTATATTTGTCACCCTAATAAAGATATGACCTATGACCTAGGGCTCTTCTCATGATTCATCCACAAACTTTTCATTCTTGGGCTGAGTGGGTATTCTGACATTGAATACTCTTCAAATCCACAAGAAATACTTCAGAGCATGACATTCTATTCCTGAAAGTAGTTAGTTA